TGGTTGAAATTAGGTGTGGATGACCGAGTGCATTACTGGTAATTTTATACTCGTGCAAGCTTCAGCTAGTGCTTAAGTATATTTACATTTATTGATTGTACTCGTACGAAGGATATTGAGGAAAATTGGCAAAAAGTACTTATTAAAATTGGAAAAAATGTATATATTTAGGAACTCAACCGATACTCAAGCGTATATTGTGTTTCCTGGTAAAAGGTAATTTAGTAAAAAAGAGTTTAATGAGTAAATGAAAGTTTGTATTTTATAAATATTAACTCTCAAGTAGTAAACTAAAAAACTTTTCTGACAAGATCGCAGTGCTCAGCGATGATGATGGCATAAAAAAATTTCTACGTGTTTTAATACAAATCTTTATTATCGCCATCGAAATAGGTATACCAGTATACCAACGATGAATTAAATTTTCCATATATTTGTTATAAGCCTGCAGCGGATTTCGGTTTATTTCGGATTTGACTCATTTCAAGAGCGCAATTTCCTAGATTGTTGGACAGTTTCTACTTGAATTCATAAGCACACGTCTCATAACTAGTTATTATGCGCTTGATGAAAGCTACGGCGGCAAGCACCTCTTTTGCAACATTTACTTCACATCATTATTAATAAGGATTAATGTGTGTAATTTGAGTCATCGACACGTTTCATACACAAAACATTAACCAGAATGTATTAAGTCCTTATATAAAAAAAGGTGGAGATCCTCTGCTATCTCTCTATTGACAACACCCCGTTTGCAAGTACTGATTTCATGTTATCATCTTGAACTAAGCTGGATGGACAACATTCGCGGTGGCTTCACGTTCTTCACTGAAAGCCTTGTGCCACTCAAATGCTGGTGTAGAGTAAATTCCCAAAATACTTCTGCAACATTTTGAGTGATTCCATAAGCGTGATTCCATTGGAAACACGAAATTTCGTTATTCAATCTTTTTCCCCTTGTTAAAATTGCCAGACAAGTATTTGGCATCGAATACAAACACAAACTATACAAAATAATGAAATACCCCACTTGCCGATGCCCAGCTGGTGATGTCCTTTTAAAAGTAAAGGCTAATATAAGCGCCGATCAAGAAATACGGTGAACGGTACAAGGAAGGAGACGAGTAGATCCTTGTGACATTTATTATAGTGCCCATTTAAAGGAGCGCAAAGTCCGTCGCCGAGGTAAAAGGTGATTATGAGGARGACTATCATTCACCCCGGTGAATGAACATCTAGCCATAATCCGCATCAAAGCGAAGTTCTTCAAAATATCGTTGATTTGCGCCCACGCCCCGACGGAAGAGAAAACATGCCTTCTATGAGCGCTTGGAGCACACCTATAAAAGCTGCCCCCGACATGGTGTCGGGCTAGGATGGACAAAGAATGTATACTTGACACAGCAATCGGCACATTCAGCCTCTCTGATTAAATATTCACAAATGGGATAAGGCTGAACGACTCGTCGGGGTCCGAAATAGAGTTATCTGTAGTACGTAGAAAAATTCATCAAACTTCCTGGCTGTCTCCGGATCGAAATGCCCCCAACCAAATCGATCATGTTTTGATAGACAGAAGACACGTCTTCAGTTTTTTTAGACGTGTGTACACTCCGAAGCCCTGACATTAAGTTACAGTGAGATAAGCCTCCTTTTAATATACCGGATTTTCCATCACCTTATGGTCGAAGCAGCTGCTATGCCCGAACTTAGTATTCCCACAAAACTAACGCCGCTACGTAATCTGACATCGAGCAACACCAAAAGCTCCGTCACGATCGAGAATGACTTATCTGAGCCGTTCGATACCAAGCGATGTTTTAGACAAGTAGACTCCGAGTTACTTCTTCAATCTATTGCTGGAGAATATAATACGAGCTGCTGAGATGTAAGCCGATAATATTGATGTCAGTCAATGGAACGATGAACTGTACGAGACATTGACATAGATCAGCGAATCAAGAGACAGCGGCTGAACTGTCTAGGTCATGTTGTTCCGATGAAGGAGAACACTCCAGCATTGAAGATGTTCGATTTAGTACCCACCGGTAGAAGCAGAGGAGGAGGAAGACCTCCACTCCGTTGGAGAGATCAGATGGAGAAGAACCAGACTGCACTTGGTATATCGAATCGATACCAAATAGCGAAAAAATAAAAGATTGGCGGGCTGTTTTTAACTCAGGTATAACCATGTAAGAGGTATCTACGCTAGTTAGTTAGAAGAAGGCATGTTTATAGTAGTTACTCCCAAAAATAGTAAAATCGGGTCAAAACTACCACCAACTCACATATTTTCCTGAAGGAATTTTCCGGACTTTAATTATTGCCAAACTCTGAGTTTAATCGGCGCTTCTTAAACACTTGAGACCTGCTCATAAACACAAAATCTTAAACTCCCTGATACCTGATCTGAGGATTTCTTAGTCAACTAAATTTAAGAAGTCATATCGATTTATATACTTTTTGCATTCCCGAAACTATCTCATTTAAATTCAACACTATGAAACAATAATTCCTTTTTATGCTGGCATTATTGCTCACTTTAATCTCCAATAAAGCAGAAAATGTCTAACCAAATATACCTTTTACCAAATTTCCAACTTCAATACACTTGTGAACTATGTACATATTTTATTTATAACAAATACTCCGATTCACCAAAAGTGTATAGTTATATACCTAAAACTATGCAAATACATATGTATGTATCTGTGAAAGCAATTGGCCATAAAAGCAATTGTGTCTGTCTAGAAGGGCAATTGATGTTGTCTGCCGGTTGTCGCCCTGCGGTCTCCTCACGACAATTTATGTGTATCCCCGTGAAATATGCACAGTACTCCATACATGAAGCACATGAACTTTCCATACATATATACGTACATATGTACAGCAATATATTATTCTCATATATTAGCCATGAGTTAGAATTCATGTGCCCCGTTTGACATAATCCACCTGCTCCAGGTGAATTTCACATATTTTCACGCCAAATTGTGATATAAAAGAACTGTATCTCATGCAGGTAATTGTATTGCATTCTCACAGGCGATGAATGAATGTATATATATGCATACGTGGACAGCGGTACTAGCGTTTATTGTACCTATTTGCACATTTGAGATCTCAAAGCAACACCTCTCTCGTATGTCACTCTTTCTCGCATCATTTTCGCCTGTCCTTAAACTGATTTATTGTGCTCGCATAATGACAATCTTTGCTACGATTTTTTTCATTTACTGTTTGTATGTATGTATACTTCTTAGTTGCCTATTTTCCTAGACGCAACAGCGCACAAAAATAGCTACACTTTTCTAAAATCAATGCAAAAGTTCCATCGATTCTTATTGCTTACAAAATAGGAGCAAAATTCTTACAAAAATAGTCAGATTTTTTTCATAATATAGAAATTCTTGGTTCATTCTCCAATACCTATATCATTCCCCGCAAAGTAATCCCTCTTTGCCCCAATATACTTATTTCAACGTTTTTTATAATTCTCGAAACAGTTGTTAAAGTCAATTTCCGGAAAAGGAATTGGGAGTGCATCACACCTCTATAATCGAAAAAAATAACCCTGATTCTCGACCTGCTTTGACGGGGTTTTTTCGGCCTCGGCTCACCTTTGTCACGATGTTCGGCCGATTCTATTTCCAGATCGCAAGCATAGATCCAAGATTTATCGCCTTGTAATAGTAATGTTTCATGACAGCCTGTGGTAGTCGGAAGGCATTGTTCCAGAGACGTTAAGGCGACGCTTTTTTGAAAAAATTTAGTGATTTTGGAACCAAACGTACTTTCAATTTTCTTTTTTTTCATCCCAAAACTTGCATTTAATATTAAAGTGGAAAACTCCACTAAATTGGTGGCTATTTTTTTCAACAGACGTGTAAATACATTTAGGCAAAATAAAAAAGTTATTTACGAAGTTAATCACATACTCGTATACTTCAGATATATAAGTATACAATATATTGTATATCTGTACATATAAGTGAATACATAGACACACGTACATATACTACATGTATACATTGCGGACCTAAACTGGGACTAAATGTACACCTGTGACTTAAAATACGTGACTACTTTGGGTTTGGCGAGATTTGCTAAATCGTTTTCTCTGGAGTATATAAAAACACACACATATCTACAACCTCTATTAAATATTATATGTATGTGTATGAAAGTGTTCGCAAAAGAAATGACAGCGCCAAACGTGCATAAAATATTAAATTAATTGCATAAAATATTCTTACTTAACCATGAAGTGAGTTATAATGCTGTTGTAAATTTTATATGGATTCGATTTTAAGAAGTAAACGCGCGTAAAAAGTGCTTTAAATATTTTAAAGGCAGGGTTACATGTCATCTGTGGTGTAATTATGTGGTTTTTTTAAAGAAGAATATAGAGTCGTTTATAGTGACATTTGCAGGAGTACTTAAACTCCGCCTTAATTGAACGATGCTAAATTAGGAAGCCATGAAAGTTGGTGGTTTGCTACCGTTGATTCACTACGGGTTTCGTTTTAGAATGCCAGACCCCTATAGAGTTTTTCAAACTTGGATATCTAATAAGTATTACAAACGAAACGAAAATTCTACTTGTAGAGTCAGCAAGTTTCAAGATGGCAAGTATTCACTCCTACTATACATTTATTTGGTCGCTAAGTTGATTGCGGGGTCACTGCGACTTCAGCTGCAGGGTTAAAAAAGAGCCACAATTTTTTATTGAATTTATGAAGAAATGTAGTTGGAGATCGAAGGAATTGAAGATAATTGTGTTACTAGTTTCCATAAAAAGATGTACATCTAGGATTCGGAAATTCGACTTATCACTGCTTATAAACTTCACTGTATTTCATAATATTCAAAGCGTATTCTAATTTGTATCTACAATACCTGCCATATGAAAACGCTGGACTGTGCTATTTGAAGCGCTTTATTAGATAAACACCATAAATTCATCATTGTAATAATTCATTAGAAGAAATATTACATACCTTATCATAAAGCTATTGAGATCCTCTGATACCAAAACGATGATTTTCAAGAACTGATTCGTTAAATTTATAATATATATAGTATGTATGTACATGGAGGATGGACAACTTAAATGAGGCAAGTTTTCGATGACTTCACGACCTTCACTGAATGCTTTGTGTCACTCAAATATAGGGATTTAATGTTCGTGATAAAGTAGATTCCGCATAGCAGTTCTTCAAACAAACTTTGCAAACATCACATGTCTGTATGTATACTTATTTACGCCTTGTAAATTTGCTTTTAATTTCCATTAACCGCACCAAATTAGTTTCATTGAAAATTTACATTATTAACCAAACCTCCGAATTCACCGAATATTTTGAAAGCGCATTCGCGGGAAAAAAAACTTTTATTCACAACATTTAATTCTGCTAAACGGTTTTTTGTTGTTGAAAATATAATCACATATATTTCATCGCCCTGTGAGTTTTTAGTTTTACGTGTTAATTTTAAATGAACCTCAGCAAAAGGTTTTGTACAACTATATACTTTGTACATAGAAATATATATTTAACTTTGTAGAATACCTGAATTCATGCTAAAAACTAAACAGCAAATTCTAAATAAGAAATATTTTGAGCTAACCCTTGGCGTTCAGCCAAAATTAGCTTATGCTTCCACTGTCTACCCAGGAAATTCAGGCGAATGTTAAAAAAAAAAATTATTTGGTAGCAAAAAGTAGTTAAAGCATATTAGAAATAATGTCAAAACGTACACTCATTGAGTTCAAGGTATGTGAGGTGTACAATAACTTTTTTCTTTGTATTATAGTTTTAATATTGTTTATTTACTTAATTAAATACTACTTAATTACTTTATAGCCATTTTCTTCAGATATAATTCACTTTTGTTTACGGTCCTCTCAATCCTCTTATATCACAGATAAATATTATTGGTGTTGTAGACTTAATTTTTTTTAAATAGAGCTACAAATTCCATCTTTAGTCTCTGTAGTTTTGCAAACAGGGAAAGTCAGGGTTAATTTTATAATTAACTTCACCTTGCGTTCTTCTGTCCTATTAGGATCGTCATATATCCATGATTAGTGGAATGTTATTTTTGATTGTGAGTTCGAATAATTCAGTTCTTCCGTACAAAAATTACTCTTTTTACGATTTAAAAAAATTTATTGAACCAATCTTATATCTTATAATTCTTCTGCCTCGATGCAGCGCTCCCAGCGCGACTTCCAAGCATTGAAGGACTCACGGAAGGCGTTTTCCGGAATAGCATTGAGAGTCGAAGTGCATGCTGCTTCGATCCCCTCTGTCGTATCAAAATGCTTACCTTTCATCGGTCTTTTCAGGCAAAGAAACAAAAAAAGTCCGAGGGTTCCACATCCGGCCTTGGTTAGGTAGCTGTTCACAAGAAAGCCACAATTTCTAGTCTTCAGTGAACACTTTTGGGATCATCTTCGCGCACATTTTGCGCATGTTCAAGTTTAATGATTTGTCGGCGTTTGTCGAAGTCGCAGGTCTCCCAACACGGTCTTCTTCAGCGACCTCTTCCCGGTCCTCCAAGAAGGCCTGGTGCCACCGAAATACACCACTTCTTGCTAAAGCAACATCTGGGTAAGCCTGCTTGTTCATATCACAGATCTCTATCCCAGATTTATCGAATTTCACACAGAATTTTATCATGTCTGCTCTAACGAACGCTGCGTTTTCGGCTTGCGCGAAATGTTTGTCTTGGCTCTCTAGGTGCTTGGGGACAACTGACCAGCTGCTTCTTCGTTACCTAGGACTTCTCTACCGAATCCAGGCGGTGCGCGCATCCGAACTACAGAGACGGCGCAAGAAAATCAATCCTATTACTTTCCTAACAAACCCTGCATTCTACATTTGAATCCCTTCATAATAGTTTTATGCTTCGAATTCCTTCCCTCACGAACTGCGCTACTCATTCATGGCAACAGCCGCGTGATATAAAATTAACGCTTATAGTTCAATTATAAGAAGAACTAAGGAATAATTAGCGACTTTCACATCCCTCCTCTTTGTGCTAATCCGAATAACATCAAATTTACGACATGAATTCCTACCGGGAATTAATATCAATTTATGTTGAACGAATAAGTTGCATGCTTCAACAGCAACACCAAATATTGTGCATGCCCCAAAGGGCAGCAAAATGAGTATTTGAAGTGCTCACCAGCTGTAGTGCTGGCAGCCACTAGTCAACACCGGAAGTATGTTAAACTCACTATCTGTGTAAAATTTATGCACAAAAATTGTTAAGGTCCCACAGCGTCAACATGTACTTCTCACGCTAAAATTCGCGGCATAAAGTATGCGAAACAAAAACAAAACAAATCATCGATACATGTTCAACGAAAAACGCATATGATGAGGAAAAAAACGAGTTGCCAAATAGTTTTGTTTTTGTATATTTCCATGCTCATGGTATAGCATATTTGTATGCTTTAATTTATTGGTCAAAAAAAAACTATGCTTGAAATTATATTTGCTTAAGTTTTTATCTCATGCATTTTTAGAAAATAAGCTTTCCAAGGTGAAAATTCAAAAGTTTTTGCATCCACCCTGAACAGGGTGGGTAGATTACCACGAAGTTTATTCCTTCCCAGACAGAACGTCGTAAATCCTATAAAAGAAAGGGAAGCAAGAAATGTATCACCCTTTATATGGTCGCATTTGTTTAATCTGATATTACCACGTCTTGCGAATCAAGACATCTCACTCATTGGTTACTTCTTTTATTCAGAAAAATTATCGAAAATTGAAGGAAAGATAATGTTTTAATTACACATGTATTTACATTCTAAAGGAATTTTTTACCCTCCACAGGGTTGTGCGCTCGGTTTGGGACCCGACACGTAACCCATGAATACAAAAAATTAGGCATGTATATTAAGGCGAAGTTTAAAAAATCTAAATAATTGGTTGCATGCGAGCTATGTTATATACAATAGTTGTACAATTTGAATGATTCCGAAAAATGATCAATAGAATATCAAATAAAAAATTATGAAAAAAAATATTTTTATAAGCTAGCTCTAAACCAATTATATACCCAAATTCTCTTAGGGAAAGTAGTTCAGAATGACCCGCAGAATATTTCCCACACTCTGGATTTTCCGTTTTTTGGCTCCATCCACGCATACATACATATACACGACAAAATAAATCTGTTTACCGGGCGACTGCGAACTTTATCAATTATTGTATGCTAATTTACGAAAGCTCACGCACACGTACACGATAGCTTTCACACAGCTTTCTGATTTTTGAAGTGACTGACGAATTAACTTTGTGCATAACAATTTTCATATGAAAGGCAAAGTAATTAAAATTAATGGAAAATATTTCATTTTACAATTTACCATATAAAATACGTTCTTTATGCGAAGTGACCATGTTAACAGAGCCTTCGGCTGAATTTTAAGACTGAATTACACACAATTTAAAGAAGCTAAAAGTTTGGATATTATTATTAGATAGTAAAGAATGGCTGTAAATTTTTAATTTTTGAACAGCAAGAGAAAGCAATATACTCGAACCAAGCAAAGAGCGAGAGCCGATGAACCTACTAAGTGTGAAATATGGTAGCATGAGGCAAGTCATGTAACAGGCCGCCTATATATAGGGTGATCCAATTCGAAGATCTCTACTTTTTCAAAGTAGAAAACGCAGAAACTTCAAATTTATTGGATAATGTAAAGAATTTGAAAGAGCATTCTTTGACCTTTGTATTCGGAAGATTATCTCTTTCAAATTTTGGCCGCGGTGACGTCTCAGATAAATAGACTTATGGAGTCCAATTTTCAATGACTCGTTCGAGCATTTCGACTAGTTACTGGCGAATGACCCACGTGATGTTTTGATCGAAAGCCTGAATCGAAACCGGATTGTCCGCAAAGACTTTAGACTTTCATATTTACACAAGGAAGTCTAACCGTGTGATATCACACGATTTTGGTGGCCGTTTCAACCGGTCCAAAATTTTAATTTACCTATTTACCGAAAAATTCCCTCAATAAATCCACCGACCCATAAACCACACCAAACCATGATTTTTTCTGGATAAAATGGTAGCTACTGAATTTTTTCAGGTTGGCCCTTCATTTCAAATGTGCTAATTTTGCTTGTTTACATACCCCTTGAGCAAGAAATTGGTCTCATCGCTGAACAAAATTTTGGCTCGAATACGTCGAATCTTCTTGCAGCTTGCCGAGAGCCCATAGACCGAAACGATGTCGTTTGGGAAGCTCGTGTGACTTCAGTTATTGCACAAGCTGTATTTCGTGCGCTTTTAATTTAAGATCTCGACGTAAAATGTCAGTTCGAGTTGATGAGAACGGCGCCGAATCGACTCTCCACGGTCTTCGTGTCACTTTCACTACGGAAGTAGCAATCGTTCGACATTTGAAAAATTCAATTCAACTTATCAAATATTGAATTACTACATACTAAAGGGACAGTCGGAAAGCTTTTAATTACACTTTGATCTCGTTTTATTTGTTCGGTACATTTTCAAAATTTTCACTTACATATATACCTCATATTACTTACTAAATACATAGTTATGTTTTGTAACATACAATAAATTAAATAAATATTTATTTTTCACCTAACCTAACTTTGTTTTAAATTATAGCGACCGTGATGATGAGTTCGCTTCAATAAATCGTATTTACACTATTTCCATACATGCCTGCAAGTCCGGTTTGCAGGCTCAGTTGAAAAAATCCAGTATACCATTCAAAATTTCGATGGCAAAATCATTTTCACCCGTCGAAGCGGCCTTCTTCTTCTTTTGTTTGCGCTCCTTTTTCGATTTTTTCTTCGATTTCACAGTGGTACCATCTGCGGCAGCGGGTGCGGGCGTCACATCGGCATCTTCAGCCACGGATTCGACGTGACCTTCCGCCGCTTCAGCACCATTGTCCTCTTTACCTTGCGCATCATCTTTACGCTCGGCGATTCTGCTGGTAGGCGCAACGGCAGCAGCTGGTGTTGCAGCCGCGGCGGGCTTTTCTTCATCGTCATCGTCCAGTTCATCAAGTAAACCGGCTAAGCTAAAACCGCCATAATCTGCATCGGCAGGCGCCTCAGTGTCATCATCATCGTTCTCTTCGGCATCATCTATGTACAATCAAAGTTGTGTAATCTAGCTGTAACAAGTGTGGAATGTCATTTTAATATTACCATCTTCATCAGTTTCGTCGTCTTCCTCATCAGCCTCTTCAGCTTCATCATCGTAATCATCATCGTCATCATCATCGCCACCAGCTGGAAGTGATATAATATTATAAAAATATATTTCCAATCAGCTTTTATAAAATAACCCACCTCCGAAGCCGAAAATATCGTCATCATCTTCTTCCTTGTTCACCT